GTTTAGCACAAAGCTTAGGGTTAGGACTTCAAAAAAAAAGATAAATGAATAAAAGGCTGCACTGGTGGCAGATGAATCCTTGGAAGACAATTGGAGCTATATCTGTTATGCCTCCTTTCTTATACAGTACAAACACAACCACAAGAACACATTCACTAATGCAACGCAGACAGAGCCTGATCCAAATTGTTGGTTCACCATTGCTAACTGTAATGGTAAAACAACAAGCAGGAAGTGTGGGGGAGGGGGCTCCTTGATCCTCCACAATGTTATCAAAACTATGTAACTTGAAGGTTGCCTTTCTGCAATTAAGCATGTTAATTAAACCTTGAACCTTGTTGTGCAGTTTTTTATACAAATCATAATGGTACGTTAGGGGTTAACAGTTTAGAAATTCTAGTTTGCACAGAATGTAAAAAAAAATCTAAGCCAAGTTTTCAAATTAGATAATAAAATTAAAGTATTTCGGAAATGTTCAGCAGGAAGACACTGACTCAGAGCTCATACATAGTAAGCCGAAATTTCCCAGAATAGTGGTCCATCATTCTTAGTTTAAGCAGAACTTTAAAAAACAACATTTAAAAGGTAAACCATATCAAACCATATCAAGCATTTAATATTTACTATTATAAGAAAGATTTGGCTTAAATAAATTAAAAACAACCGAATCAGTCAAGCAAGATTTATTCCCCATCTATACTATTTGAAAACTTGTATGTGTCTAGCTAAGCGGCAACCCTGGCCAATTTTGAAAAACTAAGCAAGGCCATATCCAGTTGGATGAAAAACCAGGAAAGATCCTAAAAGTAAAAAAGCAAAGTCCTGTAAGAAGGCAAAGGAAACCACTTTTACATTAAGAAAATTACATGGATAAGTCTAAGATTTGATTTTCATTCAAAAGAGACTACCTTTACTTAAATATTGCTATAGTAAACACATATTTAGGGTTGAGTTTGGAAACTTCTACGATGACTTTATCATCCATGTTTACTACTATTAAATTAAGAATACATAATTATTATACATAAGCATTAGATTAGAACAGAACTGTTCAGAGTGATGATTCTCACTTTACAGCAAAAAAAGACATATATTCTCAGCAGAAACATTATCCATGCAGTATCAGGAGCTCTATTCATTTTCTGTGGGAGTGAGCTCTTTTCAGTCCAGAGAAACTGCTCAATGTATTCCACGATGCAGTAGAGAGGTGAAAGAAAGTCCTAGAAAAGCCTTCCCCAACCTGTTGTCCTCCAAATTTACTGGATTCAGTTCCCATTGCCAAAGCAGTGTCAGTAGCACAGGGGTGAAATTCAGCAGGTTCTGACAGGTTCTGGAGAAGCAGTAGTGGAAATTTTGAGCAGTTCAGAGAACCAGCAGTGGAAATTTTGAGTAGTTTGGAGAATTGGCAAATACCACCTCTGGCTGGCCCCAGGGTGGGGAGGGAATGGGGATTTTGCAGTATCCTTCCCCTGGAGTGAGGTGGGAATGGAGATTTTGCAATATCCTTCCCCCTGTAGTGGGGTGGGAATGGAGATTTTGCAGTATCCTTCCCCTGCCTCACCTGCCAAGCCACATCACACCCACCAAGCCAGACCCACAGAATCGGTAATAAAAAAAATTGGATTTCACCACTGCAGTAACCATACTGCACATTCATTCAACAAATCTGGAGAACACTAGATTAGAAGAAAATGCTTGTGAAACACTTTCACTGCATAAGAACATGGTCTGAAATCTGGCTCATAGGACAAAGGGAAAGGCATGATGTTGACAGTGGCATTCATTCAGCTGTCTCACAATAAAAATGGTGGTGCTTGTGAGCCGATCAAGAAAATGCGTACCTACCTTTTTGACTGTCAAGTAAAGAATGCCTCCAATTCTAAACCAAAAAGAAACTATGCCTTAGGTATTAAAATGTTTGCAAGAACATTTTTTTTAATTAGAAAAGTAAACAACAAAGCCTAATAACCTTTCAGTAAGTACAACTGAATGGTTTAATGAGATGGTGAATGCACTAAAAATGAACATCTAAAACTAAATCGTTAGCATGTATTATTCAAGAAATTCAGTAAGACATCATAGCAGTGTTGCCATCACGTACATTTCTTACTGCTAAATCTGGGAATCGCAAAGCACTTCTAAAAGATCAGTGCAAACGCACATTTGCTCAAGTTCCTAATGAATTTATTTATGTACTATTTTCATCACTTATACCTCACTTTTCAGACCATACAGACCACTGACAACAGTAAAAACAAAATTTAGCAAACAATTGCTAGATGGCTAAGATAGATTTTCTATTCATATTTTTAAAAAAACTTACTTGAGTTTAATGTTTGACGTGTTTTGGCACTTGTACAATAAGCTTCAATGACTTTTAGAATCTGAGCATCTTCTTCTAATGCAGCTGTACCTATGAAATATCCAGAAGATATTAATTTAACATTACAATTATGCTGGATACTGACATTCATAATAAACACTGTGATTAATGATTTATAGTTATGCAGTCATTAAGTGAAACATCATGTGATCCCAATTTGCAATTTTACTGCTGGCTTTTCTATTGACTCTTGCTTGTCAGAAGCTGGCTGTGAAATGTGCAAATGGTGATAATATGACTGCAGGATGCTGCAACAATCACGAAGGCTCACTGGTAGCAAAGGGCCCAAATCGCATGTCCCCCAGGGATGCTGCAACAGTTGTAAGTGCAAGGATCAGTTGTAAAGTTACTTTTTCAGTGCCATCACAACTTCAAACGCTTTCTAAACAGGGCAGCTGATTACAAGGAGTACCTGTAGTCATAGCTGTTTCTGAAGTGTCTTATCACAGTAATGATGATGATGATGATGATGATGATAGGATTTTGGATTTGGCAATAGTAGCTTTCTATATCTTGACACAGTAAGCCATTTTATAACTGTTTAATAGGTGAAGATATGAATTATCAATCTGCTGACACACATAATTCAAGATAATAAATTCAGGAAATTTAGATATCTATTGCTTTTCATTTTTTTCAAATTGGGAAACTATGATTTAACTATGATATATGCTAGTTATGATATAAATTAAGTTATGATTAAGTTAAGCCATTTTATAACTGTTTAATAGGTGAAGATATGAATTATCAATCTGCTGACACACATAATTCAACAAATAAATTAAGGAAATTTAGATATCTATTGCTTTTCATTTTTTTCAAATTGGGAAACTATGATTTAACTATGATATATGCTAGTTATGATATAAATTAAGTTATGATATAAATTTTATATGCTATGTTATTCCTATTATTTTATTAAATAATAGTTATAAGACTCTTGGTAGTATAAATCACACATGGCATAAAAGATTTTGAAAAATCCAGAGTAAAAGATAAGCAGAAGTCAAATTACAATTGGCAAACAATCTAAAAACAGAACACTTCAAACAAGAAAATTAAGATAACATCACCTTAACTAAATTTAGGACACTCCGAAAGAGCGGTCTTAACCAGCTTCTGAAAAGCAGTAGGAACTGAGACAAATCAAATTCCATACTGTGGGCCAATGATGAGGAAACATTCTTTAACTTCTTCCTAATTTCATGGAAGCTAGGAATCACAAACACAAATCCCATCTTGGGATTTGTATCTTAGGTTGATACTAACTGAAAAAAACTATCCTGAAGTATCTCAACACTAGGTCACATAGTATTTTATCATCTGTAAATAGCACTGTAAATTGTTCCTGGAATCCTACTGGTGATAGGTCCAGGGCCCATATCACAAGTCTAATGTACTCCTCAAAAGCTGAGGGAACAAAACTGAATTCTGTAGTTGTGCTACCTAACCCTAACCCTAACCTTCTTTAGTTTTAATTGGTGTTTTAAACAACAACCTTTTCCCAAAGGTGCTTTTTCCAAAAGGCAACTGGACTTTATTGGAGGAACCCCCCACCCCCTTTGAAAATGTTTCACTTCTTACCAAGAAGCTTTTTTCAATTCTAAATGACTGGTGGGGAATGGAAGGGTTTATATTCTTTTCAGCCATCTGCTCATTAGCACTGTTGAGAGTAGTTGAAGCCACTTGGGGTTTTATCTGTATCCTCAGAGTCATCTGAATCAGAGTGTAAAGGAGTGGAACTTTCTTCGGACTGCTGATTCAGGTGACTCTGAGGATACAGATAAAAAGCACCTCTGAGACAACCATGACCTGGATGATTGAGACTCTCCACAGACCATAGTCCCTCCACTTCCCCTAAGAACTTTTATATTAGAACAGTCCTGTTTAGGAGAATAACTCCTTTCTGGCTATAAAAATATAGCTGTTTTATTAAACTAATCCTGAATTAAGTAATTTTAAAATTTGCCCATCAAATTTTACTTTTTACTAGTCAATACTAATTTATTGGAGTTTAACATCTAAGGATCTTTTTAATGTTATGCCTAGATAATTAATAATAATAATTATTCCCTATAAAAGAGAATTAATCTTTCTCATTTGTTAGCAACAATTTCATGAAAGGGCATGCTACATAGAGGGAGAAAGAAGACAATAAATGGAATATTGTATGAGATACAGTCATATTACATAACAAGATCTATCTTGTTATGTCATAGGAAATGGCATTACAGATAGAAAAATACAGCCATATTACAGGACTTAATAAAACAAATAATTCATATGTGTTAGATTACCATGATGCATAGTGCACAAAAAAGAACTGCAGTTTTCTCTCTCATCCCTCCAAAGTATACTTACTTTTTCTCAGAGCAAATTCTTCTTCTGATGGTTTCCGTTCTGGTTTTCGCTTGGGCAACAGTTTTTTCATGGTTTTAGGGCTTTTGCTGAGATCCTGTTTGGAAATTCATGGAAAATTCTAGCTCTAATTAGTTTGAATGTCTTGGTCCTAAACCCACTGTTTAAAATCAGCTAAAACCTTATTAAGTATGAGGAGAGTTATTGCCAGAATAAGAAAGACATACTATGCAAGATCATGATTGGTTTATCATTTCAGGGAGGAGACAAGCCAATCTGGTATGGTAAGATGGATCAAGAAAGTAAGTTGAAGAGTTTGCTTCGACCACAATCCAAGATGTCTTAGATGAGCTCCAAAGAAAATGCAGCCCAATTCTAACCATATGAAAGCACTAAGAGACCCATTTGATTGCTTTTAAGAATTTTTGTTGGATGAAGCTTGAGGTATCTTTGTGGATGCAACACTGAATATGATAAAACATCAAACTCAGAACTTTAGTTTTAAATAATTTAACTGCTGCTAGGACATAGTTGTAACCATATAGGCTTCATTATTGCATATACATTTCTTACTATAAAAACATAAACGACCAATGATTCTCTGCTGATGACACTATTCTTAGGAGCATTGCATTCAGAATGAAAATTCTCCTATCAAAATCATATCCATCTCTTCATAATTATATGTGACTTGATGTTGGATGAAGGCTAGTTCAAAAGTTTTGTAAAGTTGCAAAGAATGTACATGGATAGAATTAAAAACAAGCAAGTTCTTTCATGGGATATTCATTCTCACCTCTTTATAACAGAGCGCTGCTGAAGGCCTTAATGGAGGTGCAGGTCGTAAACAGCTCAAACTCCATGGCTTAGAAGTTTTAGGTGGCTCCAGTGGTCCCCAGTTTATAGTGGTGTGAGGTGTCCCATGATGTGAAGGGTGTGGAAGGGTATGATAGACAGGAGTCATCGGCATTTGCTTGCTATCTGCATGCTTGCTAGATGGTGTTACAGGATGAGATGGAAGCTGCCCATTTGAACAACAGAGTCAGAAAGGACCAAAAAAAATGAATACAATGAATATCATTGGATTATGGATTTTGGCACTATTCTCATGAACAATTACTCTACCTTATTTATGCTAAACTAGTAAGTAAAATGTAAAGGACTCCCTGCGGATTTTACTCTGCTAGTTATTTCTGACTATAGAAGGTGGTGCACATCTCCATTTCAAAGCCCTTGAGCCAGTGCTGTCCAAAGACATTTCTGTAGTCATGTGGCCAACATGACATCATGGAGCACTCTTACCTACTCACTGAAGTGGTATCTACCCACATTTGCATGCTTTTGAACTGTTAGGTTGGCAGGAACTTGGGCGAGGACAGGTCATGTGGCACTCAGGTCTTGAACCTGGGCTGCCGACTTTCGAGCCTAGCATCTTAACCACTAAGCCGCCATGCTGCTCTGCTAAATTAGTTATTACCTGTACTATTAAATATGCAGCACGAACATGCAATGCTATATGTACTGGAATTTATGTTTCCTTCAACTCTGTTGCATACAAATATTAACAATGAGTTAATTATATAAATACATTTGTCAGTATTTTGACCCATGTATATATTACCGAAACTTTGTAGATCAAGCAAATGATATAGCTACTTTCCATGCGAGTATTACTGGTCCACAAAAGGGTAAAGTCAATAAGGAAAATAACCGTGCATATTTTTTCTCAGCCTGGATGACTTTTGTCAGAAGACATCAGCAAAGCAGCAAGAGGTTTGGCTACAATTTTCACAATCCTTTCTTACATAAATAAATCACAATCAGAAATCATTTCACCAATTATTTATTCAATTTAAAATTCTACTGCTAAATAGTAATTTTATCATTGCAATTTAATTATCAGCTTGTGTCAAGCTACAGTTGTAGTTATAATATAAAAATGTTTTCTTCAGTAGTTCCTTCATAATAGGTTGGGCCTCTTTAATTTATATGTAGTGGACTAAAGACAGATGTCCTCTTACCGTATGAGAAGGAACAGAATGTGGTTTAATTGCAGGAGTCCCAACAGTTGTTACTTTCGTTTGTTTCTGCAGATGATCTACCCACTCATGCAAATCTTGTTGATTATTACAAGATACCAATATCCGCTCTATCATATTGCCTAGAACCAAATAGAAAATGCTGAACAAAAAAAGTAAAAGAAATAACTACCCTTTTAAAAGTATATAATGCTGAATTGTTGTATAAGGTATAGCAAATACCCATAGATCTTAATCCTTCTATACCTATGCAATACATTAGGTGTCTTCTCCACATTTTGGTACAAGAATTTGTGATAACCATAGTACCAAATTTATGTTCCTGCTTCCAAGAATTCTGAATATGTGTAATATCTGGCTTTAAGATTTGTGAGAAGGTTACAAGTGTACATTCATGCCTGGAACATCTTTGCTGGAGGTTGCCTTATTGACAATTACTTGACCTTTAAGATGATGGCCATTTCTTATATTCATCAGTAAATCTTAGAAAAATAGTAGTTGGTCAATTTGGTAATCTGCAGAAAACCTGCCAGTACGTTTTCAAATACAGGCCAAAGTTTTTTCTTCTAAAATCCTAAAAAACTCAAATGGTACTTATTCCTATAATGCAAGATCAGCTAAAAAAGTTATGTTCCAAATGCTACTGTACCTCTGTTAGGCCATTAATGATTTGAGAGAAGATTATTTCCTACAATGCCCTAATTTCTTCAATGCTTTTATAACATATCTTTCTCTAAGCCTACAAATTAAGTCGAGTTTATTCTAGCTGTTGATAATATACTTCTATTAATTTTAGATTAGTTTACATTCTAGGATTTTTTTAGTTGCAATGAACCCTATCTTCAGTTCATATTCAAAGAGAAAATAAACATAGTACATTTGAACTAAATAAATTTAAGTGGGATGATGCAAAACTAGAGTGAGAGCTTATACTACTAAATTGCTCCTTAGCAATTTAGCAATAAAGACTTAGCAGACTTCCAACAGGTTTAGAAAAGCCTTTCTTCTGCCTGAAAAAACTCTGGAGTTACAATACCCATGTACACCAGCCTGTTAGACCAGTGGACATGCTTGCTGAAGATTATGGAGTTGAAGAAAACCAAGATGGAGAACAGTAATTTAGAAAATGAACAAATGCCAATTCTGGTAACATTGTTTGCTGCATATTCACAAAAAAGCCCAGAATGAACAAAAACATTACCTGATATTTCAAACGCATTTCTGTGATTTTCACTATCTTCTAGTTTTGTGATGGTCATCCCTGTTAATGGAAGCTTTCCCTAAAAGCAAATGCACCATTATTATTTCAATTAATTCATCAAATATTACTGAATAATAAAACATACAGAAGAAATTTTATCATAATTGAAATTAACACATATACATTCTGATACTGAAGAAAGTTCTAGATGCCTAGACATGATGTTTAATTATATATTTATGCACCTAAAAAGCCTTTACTTGCAAAAATGCCATAGCAAGATCTTAGTTAAATGATACAAATGGTTCAACAGTTTGAAATAATAGTTTAGAACACATATAATTATACAGCAGCATTTGGAACTTAACTTTCTCAGCTGATCTTGCATTATAAGAGTTGGTTAGTTTCTCTCTAATAATACAGGTTTATATATTGGGATAAGCAGCACAGAAAGATGGTCAGAAGAGCCATGGTGAGGGCGGGGAATAGTTTTGATTGCATTCTTGATGCTGGAATAAGCAACATCCAATATATTCTGACGTTTTTCCTCTCGTTGGAGAATGGACGTTGGTCTTACCTGATACGTCCGTTCTCGACATGAGGAAAAACGTCAGTCAGCCCCGCCCTTGGATTCGTTCCGGTGGTGGTTGGGGGGGGGTGATATTAATTCTCTCTTGTTTCAGGAGGACACGGAGCACAACTTCATCGCTTCGCCTCACCGAAGAACTGGGGCAGCCTCGAAGGGGGCGGAGCTTTGGCTTTGGAAGGTGCTCGGTCATTGGCTAGACGGGACGTATACCCATCCTGACTGACGTTTTTCCTCATGTCGAGAACGGACGTATCAGGTAAGACCAACGTCCATTCTCACCTCTGGTTGAAAAAGTATGTGTGAGTTGGGACTAATATTTCTAACACCTTGTTCTGGAGCACCAGTTGTCTTCAGAGCTGTGTCCTAAGTCAGCTGTTGCTCACCCTGCTGACCCATGACTGTTGTGAGAGGTTTGCTACAAACCATATTGTGAAGTATGCGGATGATTCAACAATAGCGGGCCTTATTCAGGATGATAATGAGGCTGATTACTGGAAGGAGGTAGAGAGCTTGATGAACTGCTGTAATAAAAACTGCCTGGTTTTAAATGTAGTTTTCATTGTTGATTTCAGTAAAGGCAGGCACAGCCATACTCCTCTGTGTATTAACAATTCAACTATGGAGGTGGTTGGTAATACAAATTTTTTTAGGTGTGTAGCTGATGAGCAGGTTAGTTTGGATGTTCAACAGTGAGACATTGGTGAAGTGGGCACAGCAGCCCCTGCATTTTCTGCGTTGTATGGGAAGAGCATATCTTCCTTCCCCTGTCCTTGCCACTTTCTATAGAGCCGTGATGGCGAACCTATAAAACGTGTGCCACAGGTGGCACGGGGAGCCATCTCTGTGGGCACACGAGCTGACGCCCAGGTCAGCTCCACCGCGCATGCCCGCCATCCAGCTGATTTTCGGATCTCTGCCGGGAGACCCATGCGCATGCGTGGGGGGTGGGGGGGTCAAGCGCACATGCAAGGGGGGGGGGGGTGCACCGCCCCCCCCCCTGTGCCCTGTTTTTAGTTCCAGGAGGTTTCAGGGAGGCCTGGTTGCACAAAAATGGGGCGTGTGGGGGAGCATTAGAATTTCTTTTTTAGTGTGTTCACAGAATAAAGTGACAATAAAGATTATTTTATCACATCCCAGAGACTAAAATTGTACTGAAGCGTCTATTACCTGGTAAATAAAGCCACTCATCCTTGGGCTGGCAGACAACATCAGCAAAATGTTAGGAAAGAGAAGAAGGTATCTTTCATTTTTTTCCTTATTAGAAAGAAGAAAAACCAGTAACATATGAAAATCAGATTAAGGCAAGGTTAAATAAAATGCAGATAAACAAATGAGATGGCAATCACAATACTTCTCAAATCATCATTATTAAACCAGCACCACATTAGACATCTCTAGAACAAAAGAGGCTAAGAGATTTTTAGGACAAACTCCCTATAGAGAATGTAATCTTATTTGAAAGAAAAGGCAAGAACACTTGTTTCAGACAGAGAAGTACTGATTTTTTAATAAAAGAAAATGACGTCTATTACTATTATGATAAAATGTTTATTTCTAAAAGACTTCATTCCTCTAGTAAATGTGAAATTCAAAATATCATTTTAATGGCATAAATAAGACAAAGATGAGGCATTTTTAAAGAAGACACTCAAAAACGCTACAAGTAACTATTTTGAAGGGGCAAATGTGTTGTATTGACTCTTCTCTCTAGATTGACTGATTGAGTGTATTTTTAAGGCCACCCACTTGCCAAATGATTCTGAATGGCTCAGAAGAATTAAAAACAGTAAAAACAATTCTGGTACTAGTAGTATAAGTAAAACCTGCCATACCTCACTGCCAGCACACTGAATCATGACTTGTGACATGTAAATTACAGTTCCTAATGTTTTAATGTCTTCTCCTTCCCAGCACCGGATGGCTTCAGTTAATATCTGGAGTTCAAGTTCTTTTC